ACTGCAAATTAAACATAAGGCTCTATTTAACTTCTTCATTTTATATAAATTGAACCTAAACTATCTATCTATCTATCTATCTATCTATCTATCTATCTATCTATCTATCTATCTATCTATCTATCTATCTATCTATCTATCTAATGTTGTATAAACAAGCTCCCACTTTTCCCTCTCTTTCCTTTCAGTGTGTGATTGCGCGTTCAGCATGAGTAACATCTATGAGTCTGCAGAGGCCACGCTGGGCTTCATTAGTTCTCCATGCCTGACCAAAGTGGAGCTGAGAGTGGCCTGCCGAGGGATCTCAGACCGCGATGCCCTCTCCAAACCAGACCCGTGTGTCGTGCTGAAGATGCAGTCACACGGCCAGTGGTTCGAGGTACGAGATAATGGGGAGGGGTAATAAGAGAGATGCTGCTCCAAGTAAATGAGTCTCCAGCTGCGAAAGGCTATTTCATATTCAGAAAATGATGGTTTAATGGTCAGGGCAGGAGAGGGAATCAGGAGTTTGTCATTCTTTAGTGTTCTTTTATGACACTCATTCAGCATTTATGAAGCATTCTGATTATTAACTGTAGTAGCGATGACTCTGAATTTTTAAAAGTCCAATCTGGATTGTCACTAGGGTTTCAAATGTTGTTATGTCCTGAATAAAGTTGAATTTCATATGTATTTTGGCATCTATTTTTGAAACATTGGTCTTGGATATTGTTACAATGTTTTAAGTCATTTAAGTAAAGTGTACCAGAGGTGGGTGGAAGGAAATGGGATCTGACAGAATTAGTGATGATAAAATATTGCTCAAATATGAGTCAGTTGAATCTTGAACATTTTGTCAATTTGCTGCATTATTTCTACTGATCTGAAATCACTTTTATATAGACACAAGCCATCAGTTCAAGCTGTATTTATTTTATTCCATGTTTAATTTGAGGGAGATATGCTCTATTATTACTTCCCTTTTTTTTATAATTTATCTTATTTATTTTGTTTATCTAAATGCTGAATTAACTTGCTAACACTTTTCATTTATTAATTTTATTCTTTTTCCATGAAGAATTGTATGATTTGTATCCATTAAAACTGCTTCAGTAAAAAAGTTAAATGTTCAAAAATCAGATTTTTGGAAATTCTCTGGAGGTGAAATGAAAGTTAGCTTAGGATCATTTTCTATTCCTGGGAGTAGTGGATTCTGAATTTTTTCTAAAAGGACCAGCAATATGTCCTTAAAGGACATTTTGTTGCAGGAACTTGAAAAAGAAAATAAATGTGTGTGCATATGCAGTTGCACTAATGCATGTTGAAGAAAAAAGATCTATAACTCATCCAATAAAACCTTTCATCCCACACGTGAGATTGATCAACATAGGTCAGCTTTTGGTGCAAATCTTCCTGTTATTTACAGTCAGTAATGCTAAATTTAGACATGAGGCAAGTATGCAATGCATGTTCTTAAAGAAAACACAAAATTAATTTTATGGTAATGTCTGGAACTGTGTCAGCGGGAACTTCACCGACTAAAAAAATAATAGAAAATACAATCCCTAAAAATATTAAGTCAACTTAATCTCACCATACCACCCAAAATATCATAAGCAAACGGGTTGCAGAAAAAAACAAGTCATCCATTGGCACTTAATGATTTTCTAAAAAATGCAGTTGCATTTTTGTTTTTAAAAGTTGAATGTCCCATGTTTCATAAAAAAAACAACAATAAAAAAACATTAATGAAGCAAAACATCCAAGTTCTTCTCACCAACCTAATCATCTAAATCTAAAATGATAAGAACTCTTTATTTGCTCTTATTACAAACTCATTTTCATCAAATCTCTGCAAACATGTTAAAATGCAACCAATTTTTTGATAGCTGTGTGACCGATAGCTTGTTTCACTGAAAGCCTTTAGCATGATGTTAGCCTCTCAGCTGGATAATCCCAGTGTTATTTTTTTGGTAAATGTTGAACTTGTTAGATGCCACTACTTTACCAGTTTTCATACTGCAAAGGCTAAGATATTGCAGCGTATTTTAGCACCAGTTTCACTGCCATTCCCTTCAATTCGTCCTGAGAGTTTTGAAAGTTTCCAACGCTGCAGGAACCTGAATGAAACACACCCAGCTTATTTGTTCACTGGATTGATGTGAAACTCAATAATGGTACTTAGGTATTCTGCATTCAAGCTATCATGCCAGACTCTGGGTGTGATGTGTTGTTTAACTTTTATCTAGTATGAGTTATAGATCCTAATTATCATGCAGCTTAATTTGAAGCCAAACCTTTGTTGCAAGCATTGTGTTAATTGTGTTTATCAATCAAGTGGCTTTTATCAGTTCCAAAGTTTACCTTTTTTTTTTGGTAATGAAAACAATCAGACCTTCAACCCACGCATTCTGTGTTATTTGCCTCTTTCTGAGCTAAAGAGGTCCGAATTAGATGGAGAAAACATCTTCTCTGGGTCGTTTTGGCAGTGGAAATGGATAACTGGTGCTACTCTAAAGTGTTCCACTTCAATTCCAATTATCAGCGTGGCTCACATGCTTTCCCAGGCATTTTAATGGACTTGAAAAAAGACTATCTGAGCATAATTAAAGTCCAAAATTGAGAGAAAGATAAATCCTAATGAATTTTTAAAATAAGCAAATTTCTATCCATTTTCCATATTAATTTAAACATACCATTAAATATGACAAATTTCATCATTTCAATAAATGAGATGCATTTCAGTATATTTCAGTAGAACAGAATGCAAAAAGTAGTTTAAAAATGTAAATAATGCTTTTTACATAAACAGTTTGATAGTATTTGATATATTATTTTACTTATTATCACCTGTATAGAAAACAGGATATTTTTAAGGAGTTGCCCACCATCCACCAAGATGACTCTCATCTTCCTGAATGTAAAGTTGAGAGCCATGTTCAAGGGATATTAACTGCAAGTTGAGTGGAAGGAAAAACTTGCAAAGAAAAGTTGTGCTGGAAGCAAGAATTTGGGGGATTGGTGGAGATTCTTAAAGTGTTGACAACAGAGAACGTCAGTGCTTAAAGAGCCACCACAAAATGATGTAGCAGGGACTTGAGCTAGAACCATTAACCCACTTGCATCGAATCAGAAACACCCATTTAACTCATATTAAATAGGCTAAAGGGTTGGGCTTTTGCCTAGTCTTAGACAGTGTTTATCTCAGAAGATAGCAATTTTTCAAAGATTTATTTGTAATTTGCATGTTGTTAATATTAGATCTTTTTGTTAGATTCCTGTTCTATAGTGACTGATCTGACACACGTGCAAACATACAAACAAAAGTGTTACACGACAAGTCTTTTTCACTTATATTTCGTAAAGCAGCTATTTTTCCACAGAGGCTCAAGATCAAATGCTCAGAAAGTAGTGCAGGGTTAGGCAACTGGATCTCAAGAGAGTCCAAAAAAACTTACTTTGTTCAGCAAAGTGTGGTCTATGTGTTTATCCGTATGAAAAAATGGGAGAATATGTGCATATGTGGGGGTGTGAGATTGGACAATCTCTGCTGATCAGATTTACTTCCTTAATTGGATCATTGTTGGGAAGCAGCTGGGTGTGTTTGTGCGTGTTTAATGTGTTAAAGACTTCTTTTGCTTAAATGAGTTGCCAGTCCATTGAGGTGAGGGTAATAAAAAAACAGCCAACATCTGGTGTATGTACTATATTATTCCACTTTTTTCTTGCCTTTTTGTGCTCATGCTTGAGCCACAGGATTAACAACAAAGACAAGAAAAAGCAGGCGTTTATTTCTGCCTGCATTCGCGATCTTTTGTTGTCAACACTGTGACGGCCTTTAATTTGGCACTCTGATCCCTTCTGTGTCAGGCAGTCAGAGAGAAGAAAATCTGAGATCAATGCTACAGCTCCAGTCAGATTTCTGTGTAGTCAAACAGCTAGTGGGATTTTTTTAAAGCATCAAGAAAAATCAATGTTTGCAGTCCTCAAGTTGATAAGTGTAAACAATGTGGTAATGGCTATTTGTGGTAATTGCTGCAGTACTGAAAAGTCTTCAAAAGTTCACAATCGATGCAGAGAAGCAGTGTGCCGGATGTTCAGTGAGAGTTTCATGTGTCAGCCCACTTTGATATTAATATAAAAAAAGTTTATTTAAAGGGACTCTGGCAATGATAAACAACACAGAAGGGGCAAAAATTACAACTTTTATCTAATTTAATGAAAAATAATAAACGTATTAACATAAATAGGAGGATAAACGATATTTAGATACTCTCACTCTTATTTAAAAATAAAGATTTCAATAGGATATAGATCTGGACTTTAACCAGGACATTCTAATCCATTGATCTGAAGTGATCTGTTAAAGAAACATTTTTCCCCACCCTAATTGCTACCACAGATACTTTTCACCTTGGGGGTGTTGCATTCAGTGGGGTGCACACAGTTATATTCTGCACATAGTTAGGCACTAAGGCCAAAAGGTTTATGTGCGATGTGTGGATTACAGGTGATGATATTTGAACAGAATTACTCTTTTTCAACTATGTCAAGAATATCTATCTGGATGTCTTGAGTCTTTTAGAAAACAGGAGTAACGCAATATTCTATTATGTAGTTCAATATAGCTGGTTCTGTTTTTTTATTGATATTTAATTAAATCATTTTGAATTGAAAAACCTTCCTGGATGGGAAGCGAAATGTCTTTAAACTTGGAAACAAAGTCCAGTGGATTGTTTTTAACTTTTTTTTTTTGAGGATTATGACCTGGATGACTCAGAATCTTCACCAGCATTTAATCAAATGAATAAAGAGTTACATAAATTTGACTTGCATCCACATGCATCCTTTATAACTATAGTTAAATGTAACACACATCTGACAGAAAATGACAACTTATTTAAATTTAAGTTAGGTGGAACCACTTTAAAGGAAATCGTTTTTTCAGTGGTTTAGTATTTCTTGTATTTAAGGTTTCCCAAACATGACCAGCGTTGTCCGCTTAATCAACAATCTCATCCAAGGTGATATCTATTGTTTCTAAGATGTATATAATTTTCTGAGGTTTTTGTATACTCAAAAGAACAAGTGTTCATTTTTATTCCAAAGTAGCATATGAAATGAAAGCCAGATTTCTTTATATTTTCTTGCCAATCATTTCTGTCTTAGAAAAGGCAGCCAATCAAATGCTTAAGTCTGACACATGTAAATACGTGTTTGCAGGTGGACCGTACAGAAGTGATCCGCAGCAGCAGTGGTCCGGTCTTCTCTAAGGTCTTTCTGGTAGATTACTACTTCGAGGAGGTCCAGAGGCTACGATTTGAGCTGCTCGACATCAGCTCTGGCAACAATGGCCTCCGTGACGCAGACTTCCTGGGAGCCATGGAGTGCACCTTGGGACAGGTTAGCTTGCTTTCTGATTGGACAGTAGATTTGAATCATAATTTAGGGAAACAACTTACTTTTGCTCCTATTGCCAATCCAAGCTGTATACTTTTCCCTCAACTTACTGCCATTTGTCATGTGACATAAACTGCTGTATCTTAAGTTTTATGTTTCAGTTTATGACTTGTTGTGATTATAGATTATAATAACTATAATTATTAATAATCATAAATACCGAAATATCATTCAATATGACACCAGGAAGTATTTCAACTTCTTTGATATTTCCTCCATTTGTTCCCTTAATCATTTACTCTGAGACCAATTTGAGTACAGTTCTCTTAAAAAAAACAACAACCAAAGACTACAGAAAAAAAAAAAAACAGCTGTGAAAACATGTTTTCAGCTAATTTGACGCTGAAGTTCACCACACATCTATTTATGGTTAGGCATCTTACAGTTTTAATAGGAGCAAAAACTGATCAACAAAGAAAATGAATTAGTAGTATTTAATGTGCTTAATAACACTTTGGTCTTCATTACTTGGATATTAAACATTTACTTGAATCTTCTTCAGACATGGCTGCTAAACTTCAATAATGGGAAAAAGGGTACTGGTCAAAGTGCTGACAAAGAAGAGAGGCATCCACAAGATCTAACATTCCTAATGAAGTACTTTAATATGAAAGACCCCCACTCGTCTTAATAACCACATGGCAGCCTGCTTGAAATTTGCCCAGAGATCTGTGGAATTTGAACAAACTCACTCTTATGAAGTTGACAGCTCTGCAGTACTTTGACCACACTTACTCCATTTTATGCATGATTTATAAGCATTGCTATGCTATTTACTTTCCATCTCCACCACATTATACAGCTTGAATATAGAACATGGTGTTTGGTAGGTCGTCCCTATAAGAGAATTGGGGCATGTTTATATGGCTTAAATCTGCTTAGCTTAGATGACCTCACCTGAGCTGATTGTTTCAATTCTATATGATTAAAGCAACGCGTATTAGATTAAGATTACATGCTGTCAGTTTTAAAGTTCTTTGCAGGTTAGTATTTTGTACTGTAAAATGCAGTCTTTATTTAGCTAATTATGCTTAGTTTTGCTACTAGTATCTGCATCCAGACTTTCAGGGTCCTTGGTTTTCTATTTACATAGAGCTTTAAAAAGCTCCTCCAGACTATTTTCTGAGCATTTATATGTGCATATGCTAATCTGTGCAGTCTCACCCGCTGATAGCTGCAATCAATATTTAAAGATTCTCTTCATTTAGTCCAATCACTCAGCATCCGGGGCCATTTAAAGAGAAAACGTTCATTGCTTCGATGCTCATTAAGGAGATGAGTCGGTTCGTTTTTTTTTTCAGGGAGCAGACCCCTAGTGTTGTATTGACTATAAGGAAATAACAGGAAGGGGAGGAATGCATTTGCTTTTATGTTTGCTGGTTAAAGATGTTATCAGCAATGTAAAGCTGGTGGATTTACAATCGTTGGTAGACATACGATATTAGCCTCATAGGAGGAGGGGGAGGATTTATAATGCCAGATAGGTCCAGCTTGATAGGATAACACTGTGCAATATCTTGCTTTTTATCAAGGGTTTTGTTATAAAATGACTGAGTTGTGTAGTGGGATATTAGTAGGAACTTGCTGGTCTGCTCATAAAATGTGAGAGACAACATTACGCATGGGTTTAATGCTATAATTTATCACTGTGAATGTATGAAAGCTGTTTAAGAAATACATTCTGGGGTTGAAATTGTTACATGAACCCAGCTCTAAGTGCTATTTATCAGTGAGCATACAGTAGTTTGTTGTTAATGCCAAAAATATGTTGGAGATAGCAGTTAAAGAGAAAAACATTCACTGTTTTGGTGCCAACTTTTCCTCTTTTTTTCTTTACAAAGTTTTCCTACAAAAGTATTTGTATTGCCTGAACTTTTTTTTTGCAGCTATAACCTCAAACTGACAAGGCTCAGAATAGAGGACCCAGAATCCAACAGACAGGCTGATTTCTAAAAAGCATTTATTAAAAATAAAGGATCTGCAGGGACCTGTAAGGCAGAAACATCTGCAGAGGGAAAACTCAAGTTAGTGGCCCAGTATATCTGGCAGAGGATGATTACAAACCTGTGAGTAAGTAACCTGGTCTTAAAGTTCAGTCCGTGCCCAGAGGAAGAGGTGGATTCCAGCCAAATGGCTGCCAACACCACACAGTGAACGCTGCCCAGAGAGTTCCGGATGCTGAAGCCTTGCAGACTGCAGAACTGGATGACGAACAGATCAAAGCAGGCGAAGGAAGGCAGGACTTTCCAGAAGGTAAAAACCAAAGTCGGTGTTGAAGAGGTTCACAGGAATCCGAGCCAGAAGATCAAAGATACGAAGAGGTAGCTAAGGGAAATTCAGGTTGAAGTCAGGAATGAGATCCAGGTTCAGTCCACAAGTAGAATCTGAAGACAGGCCAGCCAAACAGATCACAACAGGCAGGCTCACAGGTCTGAAGGCAGAACGGGTCAGGGTCAGGCAATCAGAACACAAACAGGTACGCTAGAGAACACACTAGAGATTATTGGAGAACACAGTCTCCAATAATCTGGCACATATGACTGGAAGCAGGCAGGTTAAATAGATACTAAGGAAGGTGACACATATAAATGGTGATGAGAAACTCGGCGGAGCTAGATAGCTGAATGGAATGAACCATAAAGCCAGTCATCAGCATCAAGACCATGACACAAACTAAAGTATATTTTGTTGGATGTAATGCTACTGGCAGACACAAAAGGATGCTTAATAAAAACGTTTTGTAATAAAGGAAAGAAAACCTTCCTTTTAGAGTGTAAAACTCCAAAAAGTGTGGAGAACATGTAAATTATTTCCTCCTTTACTACCCCAATTAAAATCACATACAATCAACTGCTTTTGGAAGTGGTCTTGTTTGAAAAAAAGAGAATATACCTGCATACTGTTTATTTCCATAACCTGAGTTTCTGTTACTTTTGGTTTCAGATCGTCTCACAGAGGAAACTGACCAAAGCTCTACTCAAGCAAGGAAACACTACTGGAAAGTCCTCAATAATGGTAAAACGTCACTTCAGAAGCCAGCTCCACCTCAGCTCAAAGCACCTACATGCACACAAATTCCAATCACAACGTTGTGCACCTAGGAGCTCTGATAATTAATTTGATGATGCCCCCTCCCCGCTTCGCATTATTCCTCATTTCCATCTAATTTCCATCACCTCTTTCTTATGCCTCTCGTCCGTCTCCCTCTCCTACACCCTTACCCCGCCCTCCCCACCTCCCTCTGTATAGGTGACAGCAGAGGAGTTGTCGGGGAATGACGATTACGTTGAACTCTCTTTCAGCGCTCGGAAGCTTGATGACAAGGTTTGTGCTGTTGTTTGCTTTAGATATTTTGGGAATGAGTGATTTATGTACATTTGTAGTTTAAGGCCGGTGAGGTTTGATGACGAGGCGACTCATGAGATAGGTGGGCACCACCCTGCTAGAATAAACCTCCTTTATCTCCCCAACTCAAACACACACACACACACAGAACTAGATTAATTTTTGGCTTTCCTTCACACCCCCGTGCATGTCCTCACCCACAGCCACGCATGACTAATTCAAACAAGTTGTGCCCAAGAGGAATGATGGAGTACAAGCAAGGGAGGGGTGGATAAATTGGAGAGGACAGGAGAGGGATGGCCTGTTGAAACAAAAAGAAAGCAGGGATAGGAGGTGAAATGATGGCTCTGATAGTGTATGAATGATTTATGCCTATGATCAAAGTGATTTTTTTTCTTCCCTTTTCTCTGTGAAGGATTTCTTCAGTAAGTCAGACCCTTTTCTGGAAATTTTCAGAGTGAATGACGATGGGACTGAGTCGCTTGTACATCGAACTGAGGTGATTGAAGAATATCCACACACATTCATACATCCTGAACTTTTTCTACATTTTGCCACCTTACAACCTCTAACATCAATACCCCTTTAACTATGCCACCTCTTGTTTTATCCAGTGGAACAAACTGCTCTGAGATTTCATTCCCTCTCTTTGTAATATGTTCTTAGTATAGATAAAGACATTCTGTGAATGCCTTAGCGGTTTGCTAGAATAATCTTCAACACCATGGCTGTCCAGGAGAAGCAGTAATTAGAGATGCAACCAAGAGTGTCATTGCTTACTTTGCAGGGGCTGCTGAGATCATCAGCTCTAGTCAGAGAAGTTGTTTAAATCTGGTCTACATCAAAGGCTAAAAGGAATAAACAAAAGAAAGCCAAAATAATTTGCAATGACTCAGAACAGAGGACCCAGTATCCATGGTAAGTCAGACAGTGGGATTATTAAAAAAAAAGCCTTTATTTAAATACTGGTGGACTGCAAATCTGCAGCAGCTAGTGTGTCTGAGGTAGGAACCTTTGAAGGAGAGAAACACATGTTTGTGACCAAGTAAATCAAATGGAGGAAGATTATGGATGCGAAGCACTTACCTGGTTGAACAGTTCAGTGCATGCCCAGAGAACAAGAAGGATCCATTCCGGTGGACTGCCAACAAAATGCGGCTGTCCTGAGCGTCCAGACACTGCAGCCCCGGAGAACAAGCAGGAATCAGAAGCCCGGTCAGGCAAACTGTTCAGACAGGAACAGGCAGGCTCAGTGGTTGAGAGGCAGAACAGGTCAGTATCAGGAAATCAGAAACACTCAGGTTTGCTAAAAACACTTTCACCACTTGCTAGAGAGAACAAGAGTAATCAGATCCTAATGACTGTATGCAAGCAGCTTAAATAGAGGCAGGAGCAGGTGGATCAGATGAGCAGTGATTAAAAGCCAGGAAGAGTTATAAAGTTGAATGGAAAGAGTAATTAAGCCAGTCATCAGTGCCAAGATCATGACAGAATCCCTGTAAGTGATGCAGAAATGTAGAAACCGAACTTGTTTGCCTACATGCCAATACAGTAAGTAGTGGAAACCTGGCTCTGCACATCACCCTCAGCTCATTGCCATGAGACATGGTGGGAGAAATGTTATGTGGCAGGGAGGCTTTTCTTTAGCATAACAAGAAAGCTGGTTGTACCTAATGTGAAAATCGATGAAGCTGAATACTGAGAAATTCGAAGAGCTTTTAGAACACAGGTATCAAACTCCAGTCCTCAAGAGCTGATGTCCTGTAACTTTTAGTTCTGTCTCTGCTTTAACACATCTAAATAAAAAACAATTAGGTCATTACTAGAACTCTGGAGAAATTACCTAAAAGCTACAGGAGAGTGGCCAGTGAAAACAAGAGTTTGACACCCCTGTTTTAGAAGGTGGAAATGCACTGAGACGGGAGATCATCCAGGTCATTGATTCTCAACACAGAAGCAGAGCTATGATGGAAAATGAATGGATCAAAATATGAGAAAATGTTGAACAGTCTACTTTCTTCAGTTTTCCAGTCAACTGTTATAGATCTACTTAAATGTATTCATTTAATTATGTGTCATTCACAGACAGTGATGAACAACCTGAGCCCTGTTTGGAAATCCTTTAAAGTTTCCTTGAACACTCTTTGCAGTGGTGACCATGACAGAGAGCTAAAGGTGAGTTTGAACACAAAGGTTAAAGCAGAGATAAAATGATAGAAGCCAACTTTTATTGAATTTTAAATACAACCTGCCACACTCTATGTGGAAAACCTTGAACACAGCTTTTTTTTCACAATTCAATTCATTTAGTAACACACAAAGCTTGTTTAGAGGAGCAAGGCCGAACCACACCTGCATGCCTACTGAAGTTTTTTTCAACTATCAATTTCTTTTCTTGCTTTTTTTTTCTCTAATCCTTAAGAAACATGTCATGTAAAATCTACTGCTTCCTTAAAAAGGCTTCAAACCTTAATTAGATATTTCAGGCCATGGCTTGTTCAAGTAATACAAAACTCCAAGCTTAATAAGTACACTCGCTCCTAATAGCCTGTGCTGACAATCAGCCGTGCATAGGTTATTTATTCTCTCGGAAATCAGGAAACTATGCAAGCTGATTGCAAATAAATGTAAGAGAGACTGTTCTAGGTTGTTCTGTTTTCCAAGTATGCAATATAATCAAACAATTCCAATCAACATAAATATGGGAAGTCACATTTACAAGATCAAGGTAACTTTTGAAGTTGTGTACTTCAAACTAAGGGATCGTGGGCTGCATTGACCTCTAACATTATTGTGCACGCTCATTTCACAATGGTTAAAAATTAATTCATCTTCATACTTCATTTCAAACATACCCATCGTCTTCTGCTCATCTGGAATCGGATCGTAGTGACAGCAGTCTCAGCTGAGACTTCCAGACTTTTCTGTCCCTAGACACCTCCTCAAGCTTTTCTGGGGGAAGTCCGAGGTGTTCCAGGGCCAGCTGGGACATAAAGTCCCTCCAGTGTGTCCTGGGCCTTCCCCTGGGCCTCCTCCACATGGGATGTGCCTGGAACACCTCTTTAGGGAGGTCATGTCAAACATTCGTAACTAATGTTTTTAATTAAAAGCGCAACTCCAGTGACAAGTTTTTTTTTCACCATTTTCTCAAAAAATTTAATTACTAAAGGTCATGAAGTCCTCCTTTCCTTAAAAAAAAAATCATTATTTCATCATGTGCTTTTATTCAAACAAAGCTTCTTTGGTTTGTTTTCCCCTATTTGACCCTATTTGAATAGCTCCAAATTTAAAAACAAAACAAAAACCCTTTTAAAGTGTTTTTCTTCATTTCACTTCTTTTCTTTTACCCTTCATTCAAAAAAGCTAAATGTTAAAGTTATCACTGAAAAGTGTTCAATTTTTATCAGTATAAATATGCTACAATACCAGTTCCAATTGTGAGATTTCTTTTAAAACCCTGGCTCTATTTCAAATTGTCACCTCAAAAGATAAAATCTTGGCCTATTTTTGCCTGTGCTGCTTTCATATATCTCTGCTCTGCAGCATGTAACTTAGAGCCTGCCTGTAACAGATAATGCACAATTACAAAATAATTGGAATGCAGAACTTGATATGTTTCATTTTCTGATATTTAAAGTGTAAAACTCCAGTTTAGGTATTTAAGATTAAAGAAAGGAGAAATGCATAGATTCTACATAGCAAGTACTTATAGAGAGATACATGCTACCTGTTTTGTAAAAGCATTGCCTAATATGGTCAGCAAAAAAGACCAGAATCTATACCCTTTCTGCAATATGTGTTCCCTAAACTCATCTTATAGGCAATAGGTTAGTTTTTTTTTTTATTAAGACAAAAAGAGAAACTTATTTTTCTTATTCTATGCTTGCATCTTCTTCACCTAGCAATTATACATGCCATATGTGCTGTTGCAATTTGTTACTGACTTTAAGACCTACTAAATGAATCCACTTTGCCCTCCTCGAAACATTGGGTGGACTGAACCAATTTTTCTCTATTATTAACTGCAACTGCGTGCAATCTTTGTTGATTGTCCATAATACAACTACTACCTACATGTATTTTTATACAGATATATATTGCTTTTATTTGGGATTTTATTAGGATAGGATTACGTGTACTAAAACTGAAAATCCTTAATGCATTAGATCAGTTTTCAATCCTTGTTTTCCAACATATCACTGGTTAACCTATGTAATGCTGTGTGCTTGGAGAAAATTCACAGATAATATAGGACTGTGTCATGATTAAAGCCCAAGCTATGTGTGAAAGTAAAGTGGGAAGTCAGAGAATGCAAAGTTTTAGTGCAAGCTTTGGATTCAGATTCATTAAAAGTTACCAAACATTCCCTGTCTGCAGCTTCTCAAAGACTGTGCATACATACTGCAGTGGAAGCATTTCACAGCTCTACTGATGGCATATGGGAGGGACACATGCTGAAAAGAAACTATCATGCTGGCGGTTTGTGACGCCTTTTAATAGACTGCACAAACAGTTCAAATGCTTTAAAAGATAATATACACTCACTGCCAGTTTATTAGGTAGACGTGAGCAACTGTTCGGTAACAAACATTTCTAATCAGCCGATCACATGGCAGCAACTCAATGCATTTAGGCATGTTGACAGTCAAGACGGTCTACTACAGTTCAAACCAAGCATCATGGGGAAGAAAGGTGATTAAGAGATTTTGGGATGGATGTTGGTGGCGGAAGGGCTGGTTTGGGAATTTTAGAAACTGCTAATCTACTGGGATTTTCACCCACAAACATCCCTTGGGTTTAAAGAGAATGGTCTTAAAAAGAGAACATTTCCAGTGAGCGGCAGGTCTGTGGGTGAAATTAACTTATGGATGCCAGAGGAGAATGACAGACTGGCCCAAGATGATAGAAAGGCAACAGTAAAACAAATATCCACCTTGAGATGGATGGGCTATAGCAGCAGAAGTCCACATTGGGTGACCCTCTTGTCAGCTAAGAACAGGAAACTGAGGCTATAATTTGCACAGGTTCACCAATATAGGAGAGCAAAATATTGGAAAAAACATTGCCTGGTCTAATGAGTCTTGATTTCTGCTGCAACATTCAGCTGGTTAAGAAATTGGTATCAACATGAAAGCATAGATCCATCCTGCCTTGTATCAACGGTTCACGCTGCTGGTGGTGTGATGGTGTGGGGAATTTTTCTGGGGCACTACGGGCATCTTGGTACATACTGAGTGTCGTGTTAACTCCAAAGCCTACACGATTGTTATTGCTGAGCATGTTCATCCCTTTATAGCCACAGTGTACCCATCTACTGATGGCTTCTTCCACCAGGATAACACGCCATGTTGTAAACCATATTTCTTTATTGAACCTGAAAATAACTTCATCATACTCAAATGGCCACCACAGTCACCACATCTCAATCCAATAGAGTGAATGACTATGGCAGTTCTGAGGGCAAAAGGTGGTCCAACCCGGTACAGCAGGGTGTACCCATTGTAAGAAAGTAGCTGGGGAGTGTAGGGTTAGCCTGGCCCTCTTGCAGAGGAACCTTGTTTCATCCACCTTTGTCTGTGGTCTCGTTCTTTCAGTAATGGCCATCTCTCTTGGGTGTATTTATGGGTTCGGAAGCAAACAGTTCCGAACTAGGTTTCGGAACTAGGCACTAGGTTCTTGTTTTCCTTTGCTTGATGCAAATGCTAATCACCAACTTAAAGGAAGCGGCCTATTTTTCCTTTCCATTTTCACAGCTACTTTAAATTTGTTCAGTACTTCAGAATTGTTAATCATAAGAGCTAGAAGCTGTTTACAGCAAATAAAAGTTATCCAAGCAAAATACTAAAGAAGCTTAAAAGGTTTTCAACTTTGTTTACAAGCTGTCATACTTGCCAAAAAGTCTTACTAAGTATCTAAGCTTTTGTCTATGTCTATGTATTAAGATTGTAAAAAGTAATTGAAGAAATATTCTTAAGCCATTTTGTTATTCAGCATCACCATAAACCATTTAAACAAAGGTGACAAAGCCTATGTAAACCAGTATAATAGAAAATTATTCAAATAAAAAAGCAGCTCTTTTTACTATCTCTCTAGACCTATGAGCTTAGTTTGGGTCAAGTGCCTTATGAAGCATCTGTGGTATTTAAAAGGCTCAGTGGTCAGTTAAACACTCACCTTCCCTTGCCCCCTCTTCTGTGTATGTGTGCAAGGCTGCACATCAGCTGTGAACATTTATTCTTCTTATGAATAAACATGAAGTTGTTCATTAATTATTCAAAGCCTTCTTAACTCTGTGTGGCTCCTGACAGCAGGAGAAAGGGCTTGCACACACAGGGACGCACATGAACGCCATCGGCCATGATGTCCTGGGCTACCTGTTTGAAGCATCAGAGTCAGAGTTAGAAATGGCACGGCGTAGATTTCCATTCAGTCCAAGACTTTCCTTTCACTGAGGTCCTTAACTGACCAATGCATAAATGCATAACCCTCCTCCGCTGAGTCTGGCTGTCTCTTCCTTTGTACTTCTCCTTGCTGGTTTCTTCACCTCCCTACTCTTCCTTTCCCCCCACCCCTCTCATTGGCCTCTTGCTCTCACCAACAGTTAGTATTCAGTGAATGGAACAGGGCTTCTTCATTTTTTCATTAGTGCCTTGCACAGCCTTTCAGTTTCTTGAAGTGGAAGCGAGGCTGCAAAGGCAGACACTCCCTCTCCTCCCACACAGAAATTATTGGCAAGAAGAGAACAAATTATGAGACACACACACAAAGACAAAAAAAGGAACATGTACACTTCAGGTGCAGGCTCTTTGCAGCTTAAGTGGAAGACAGGAAATAAGAGGATTATTGCTGGTCTTTGTTTTTAATCATAGCTGTTGGACTGGTTCAGATTGCTTGTGGCGGGTTTGACCTAAAGAGGGTCAAAGGATTTACAGCAAATTAGCCCACTACAGCTGAACCGACACAATGCTGGCCTGGTTATAAGTGTTAAATCATAAATCCAATCTCTTTGATGTTATTGAACACAGTACATCAAAGGAAATGCCCTTATAACAACACCTACTGGACACTGTTCACCATGCCACTGTCAGCTTTGACCCTAGTTTGCCTTTAGAGATGTTTTAATTCTCAATACCGAGAAGATTGATAAGATTTGAGCGATGCTACATGACAAGAAATCAATCCTTTTTTCTACTTATAAAGGGATGGACATGAGCAGCAACAACATTTCGGTGGGCTTTGGTATTTGAACAATAACTGGTCGAGGAGACTAAAGTGTTCTCCACATAATCTTTACACCATCAAAAGTCTAAATTATTCATAAGGTAGGACTGATCTACACTTTCATGATGTTTACAGCCAAGTTCTGACGCTATTTTGGATCCTGTATGAATTTTGAACGAGGTAACACCTTTCATCATCTTTTATTATCGAACTTTGTTGGAAAGCACAGAAAATGTAGTCTTAGTTACCTGTTTTATCTGACAGCAGTGGCTCCTATCATGATCTTCTGTTGCTGTAGTCTCATAAAGGTAGATCTTCATTGCATATAGAAACAATCTTCTAAATACCATGGTTCCAGTAAGTGGTTATAAGAGTTATCTTACCTTTATCGTCAGCCCATTTTACAACTTTCTCCTAACATTAATAAGGTATTTTTTGGCATAAGAGCAGCCTATTGGAAAAAATCGTTCTTTTTGAATATTATCTGTACAATCTAGAGATGGTTTTAAGTGAATATCCCAGCAGATCAGCAGTTTCTGATTAATTTGATGAATGATCATCCCATCCATAGCTTATCTAAGCATCAGTGCAGGGAGGCTTTTGCCCATCTCTTGCAGGTTTTGGGCATTAGAAATTCCCTTTAAATAAGCAATTTAACATGAATATTGTAAACAGATTGAATAAATAAAACACAATTCTAGTCATATTGCTCAAGCATTCACACGCTTGCACTCACTATGGCCCATTCATTGACACCAATAGTAACTTATTGTAAGGGTCACATATTTACAAGTAGAAACATCACAGCTAGAACTGAACCAACAGCTTTTGTATTGTAAGATCATCTTCTATCCCTTTTGTCTGTTCGATGGAGCCACAAAAGTATCTGTATTTAATACAACTGCCTGTGTGTATGAATATATAAATGCCTTTTGTCATATTTTGAAATAATCCGATTATTTCTTTGTGAGCTGTTGAAGCTTTGGCCTCTGACCCTTTTTTGATTGTAGTCATTTATATTGTGAAATAGCTCCTCTGAGGGAGAAAAACTATTATGTTTACACTCTGACACTCATAAAGCTGTCTCTTAAGCCTCTCAGCACCCTTAGATTAATATTTCACTGCTCTATGGCCCCCCCACCAACACCACCCTATCAATCATTCAGCATGGCATTTCTTTGCAGGTCTGTTGATGCATCTGTACGCGTTCAGGTAGGGGATCTTACCATGTGTGCCTGTGTGTGTTTCTCTTTCCGACTTAGTCTACAGTTTGGGACTGGGACTCCAATGGCAAACATGACTTTATTGGAGAGTTTCAGACCACTTTTAAGGAGATGATGAGGGCAGAGCAGGAGGGCAAACAGGTAAGAAAATGCACATTCCAAATTAAAGCCGTGGCTCATATGTGCTCTGCATGTAATTAGGCACACAGCTTCCTCTGTGCTCCTTAAGCACCACATTAAAATACCTTCTTGTGTAACAATATTCTGAAAGTGCCTTGAAACACCCTCGTGTGCAAAGCACCGACAGCCACAGCCTTCTTGTGTTTTTTCAGATCCAGTGGGAATGCATTAATCCTAAATATCAGATGAAGAAAAAGAATTACAGAAACTCTGGTACTGTAATACTCAACCACTGCAAGGTAATAAACTCAGCATCATCCTGATGTCTCTAGAGTTTGTCTCTAGTTTTTTGTGTGCCTTTCTGCCATTGTTATTATTTTTTTAATTTTGTTGATAAATTGTTATATGTCTAAAATGTCATGTATTTCATAGCTGAAGGTTTGCCAACATTATCACGTTACCTTATAAAATTAAATTTTTCCCAATTTCTTACTTTACAACCACAAGCGTTAATTAGGATGTTATGCGATAAACACAAACTAATATTACACAAAGAAATGGAAGAAAACTGATGCTTGGCTTTGAAATGCTCTTCACAATCCAAATCTGAATGGTTTGGACTTTTATTTGTTTTCCTCTGATATGCCTAAACAAAACCCAATGCTACCAACTGCCTTATATATAAATAGTAAATAGGGCCCAACTGCATATAATTTAGTATCTGTAGAGCACAGTAGAGAATAAAGTGAATCATGGAACCAAGGAAAACATCAGAGAGTTAACAGTATAGCACAGCAAGAAATCTACCAAGACATGGCTGCCCACCTAACACTTAGGCTTTGGCAAGGATGGCTTTTGAGAGGATAAGGAACCAAGAGGCATACTATACCAGTTCAAAAGCTACATAGATCTATAGCTTATAGTCATCCACTCCACAAATACAGAATTCATGAAGAATGGCAAGAAGAAGGTCATTCTTGAAAATAAGTCATATTACAAAATGTTGCTGTTTCTTACTACAAGACATGAATGGGGCATTATGTACATATGAATTCACCTGTGTCGTGATTTTTCTAAGGCTTGGACCCACATGCAGCAAAGCCAAACAGAGAGACACAGTATAAAAGTTCAACGGGTTTTATTGAAGAGCATATGAGTTTGGTGCAGAGTTCCTCCGAACTCTGCTCAGCCGGAAACTGGAAGACGAGGGGAAGACAGATTGTTAGATTCAGGCTCAGTGGGAAATTGGAGCTGTTAATCTTGAAGGAGAGGATTTGATGCAACTCCTGTTTCCAGGGAAGAAGAGACACGTAGACTCCTGTCTGTGTGTTGGTCTTCCAGAGTTTGTTTGATTCGGTGGAGGGCGGAACAGGGTTTACCCAGAGCTCGGACGGAGTGGAATTATGCAGCCCGCTGGTTGAATGGGTCATGGTGAAGATGACTTCCTTACTCAGAGAGTGATCTCAGCGTGCTCAAAGGTGGCTGGATCCAAACCTCCTGTTTGGAATCCGTCGCTC